CTATGCAGTGTATGTGACCCAAAGTCTGTTACAAAAATAAAACATATGTAAATATAAATATGCAAACAAATTAATTTTGGTGTCTAAGAAGAAAGGAAATTGATAAATACTGACAGTCACTACCTCACATCCACTTTTATTTTCTTCCTTATGCCCTTTAGAATTTTCAAATTCTTCTTCAAATGCATGGTTTTTGAATAAAAATGTTTTTAAAGACAAGCAGAGATTAAATATGACTTGAATATGGGATGTGAGAAAGCAGCAAATGAAGAAAATAGAAGCTAAATGGTAATTATTGAGCCTGGTCTAAATTAGGTCTAAACATTACAATTTATTTTCATCCTTTGTGCCACAGGGAATCCTAAAAGCCTTGGAAGAAACAGAATTAAAATAATTATATAATGTAATTTAGTTATAGCTATTTTTCTGACTAAAGAAGTAGTACATCCTCATTAAAGAAAAAATTAGAGATCCACTGTTAACATTTTTTAATGCTTTAATGCTCTGTGTTTATCTCTCAGGTTGGATCACATTTCACACAGCTCCCTTAAATACACCGTAATATAAAAAGTTATCATGAATTTAAAACTCCTCCAAGAACGATTTTATGGACTAACAACTGACTCTAATGTTATTTACTCATCTTTTGCTTTTTGTGTAAATGTGTTTGTCATTTTCATTTTTAAATAAATTTTAAATAATGCTTCAGTAAACATCTTTGTAAAAGTTCTATCTGAACAACCATTGTGCCCCAAGTTCGGCATGTGATCGAAATATACAGTGAATGTTAAAATGTTTAAATTCATCACCATAAAAGATACATTTCCATTAATCTCATATTCAACATAGTCCCTCCTGCTTCACATTCACTTATCCTGTGATTCTTGCCACTTTCTGAAGCAATTTTGGAAGTCTTCTTTCACAAATGTCTATACAAACGGTGATCAAAAATACTGTGACGCCTCCAGCTGAGCGCCATCCAGTGGAAAGACCAGCTTGTAAAATTAGCACAGTGTGTTCTCATCCACCTTATTCATGGAACTTGGCACTGTGTGGCTTCTGGCTCTTCCTTAAAATCAAACTAACCGCGAAAGGTAAACATTCTAAATGGATTCAGGACATTGAGGAGGCCGTGACAGCACAACCAAAGACATTCATGAAAGAGGACTTGCAGGCCTGCTTCAGAAAATGGCAAGAATGATGGGATATGAGTGTTCAAAATAAGGAGGAGGATTTTGATGAGGATTAATAGCAATGTGCTTTTTACTTTAATCATTCTAATTTCAATATTCACCATATTTTTTATCACATCTCGTATTACCAAGTGCTGCACTAAGTATTAGGGACACAAAGGCAAATGAAATAAGGTCTCTGCCCTACAGTAAGAGAAAACAGACTTATCTAGAGAACTTCCAACACGAAGTGGCAGAGAAAGGACCTGTCTACCTATTTGCCTGTGTTTGAGCCCTTCCCTGCCCTTACTGAGCTCACAGCTGAGCTGAGAAGCAGGACCCTATGCAGCCCCCAGCTGCACGTGGTCTGGGCTCTGCAGCAAGTGGGGGACACAGTGGAAGCGGACACAGCAGCGAGGAGACGATGCTGGCCACACAGAGGATGGGAAACAGAGCCAGCCCAGCTCTCTGTCTTTGTCTGGACTGAAAGGCATGAGGGGCTGGGGCGGGGAGCTGCTCCAGGGAAAAGGAGCTCTTTCAAAGGAAGACGTGAAAGAGGGGTTCGCACAGAGAGCTCCTTCCCCAGCGCTCCCTGACCCTTCCTGGCCAGCACCTGCGGCCACACCCCAAGGCTGTGACCCCCACGCTCAGCACTACCAGGGATTGGTTGAAAGGCAGATATGAAGGCTCCATAAAGTGAAGAGAAATGCTTTTTTAAAAGATGTGGGCAAATGCAAGAGGAAAGCACAGTGCAGGGTGCCCTAGATTTCCTGGGGTGCATGTGAGGGGCAGGGACACCACGCGGCCACCCCAGTCTCCATCCACCGGGTGCTTGGAATGCAGTAACGGCGTCTTCCCAGGAGAGGGAGCGCGTTGCCTAGTGAAGACGAATCCGGTGCTGGCGGGCTGCGGAAACGTTTTCTTAGCTGGGCGCTGCACCTTAGTTTCTTGGCCTCACACATTCCAGGGTGCTGCATCCCTGGAGCTGAGGTTAGCCAGCCATCCTCAAGCACAGATGCTAAGGCGCTCCGCAAGTCAGCTGCAAGCCCTCAAGTGCCCTCTGAAGCATTCTGTCCAGAAGATGACGGAGACTTCCAGAACTAGGAGTCAGCGTTTAATTGTTTTGGTCTCCATTCCCCCCTCCGTGCCTAGGCAGGTGCCCAGGACACAGTGGACATGCAGTAAATATTGTGTGGATGCCTGGACCAGACACGGTTCCTGAAAGGCTTTGGTGACCAACACAACTTGGCAGAACAGTGACCTCGCCTTCTTTTCTGAGGGTTTTTGCCTGAAGTTCAGTCCTCTCAGAGTCACTGAGTGCTTCATTCTGCCCCTGACAAAGGACAACTTCCCTCGCTGTCCCCGCACTGCTTCAGCTCTCGGGATGGGAAACTTTGCCTACTGTGAGCACCAAGGCAGCATCCACCAAAATCAACACAACCAAAGCTCAGGCTGTTGATTAGTCAAAGAGGGCACATTACAGCCCCACAACCCTGGGAGTATATTTCCACAATGCAGAAGGCAGGAAGTGACACAATCATCTAAAAAGAAATTCTTTTCTAGAAATACAAATGTGTCCCCCCCAATTCCCCTCCCTACACCCAACAATGTCAGTATCTCTGATACACTCACTCACGGTGTTGCACGGAATGTTGTTTAAAGTCTTACAAGTGGCTCTGGTGCTCATGAGTACTCATATACATATTTGCACGTGCGCACACACACACACACACACACACATACTGACATGCCCCCGCATCCCTGCCATACTGAGCCATTCCTATAGACCAGAGGTTTTACGTCTTTGATGCATATCAAAGTCACCCAGGGAGATTTTTTAAAATTATATTGATGCTCAGGCCAAATTGAATGAGAATCTTAGGCAAATTAAGTCAGGATCTCTCATAGTGAGGCTCAGAGAACTTACTTTGCAGCCAAGGCTGACAGGCTATCCCACAGACAGCAAAAGAAAGCACCCGCATGGGAAGCTGGCAGAGGCCTGGCCACCACGCCTTCCCCCTACCAGGAACACTGAGAGCAGCAAGAGTTAGAACCACCCAGGGTGGCCCAGGATGCAGAACTGTAAGAAAAGCCCTGGCCCAGCACAGGAGATAGGGGTCCTAGATTTATCTCCCCACTGACCTTCAGAGCCATAATTCATCATTCCAGTCTCCGAGCTCAGTCTCTTTCTCTGTGAAACAGGAGGGTTACACACAGAGCAGCTGAAAGAACCGGACAAAATATCAGAGGAAGAATGTTTTGTAAATTGTAAACGATTGTGCACTTGAACATGATTATTATAGGAAATGACCAGATACAGATTTTTAAATAGTTTTTAGGCTTATTTGTAAATTGTTTTCAATCCTGAAATTTCAGGATAGTGATATATATGTACCATGGCATCTGTCAGAAGATCCCGGCCTTCTGGGGTTTCATGTTAATTTCCAGGTTTCCAAGGGTTTCTGAAATTTCTGTTCCCCGGACAGGGAATTCCCAACAGCCATTAGCACAACAGTCAAAGACATCACATCACAAAGTAGATGAAACATCTGGCTATCGTCACTGTTTCATTCAGTTATTTTGCATCAATACAAACCACTCTTGTTTTCCTTTAGTAACATTTGCTATTAATATGGTGTTAAATCTCATTGAAATACTTTGTTATAGTAGCACAATTTAGAAGACCCTTTTGTGGTACAATTTCAGACATCGTCGATGAGCTGTTCAGAGGGCTGTTTCTGAGTAAAAATCCATCTCCAATCTCACAAACTGTGCCCATTTGTTGTAGCATATCACATGCAGAGTTTCCAGTTTAAGAAATTTCACATGGAACAGATTTACCACTTAACCCACAGGCTAGCTTTGTCTTAAGTCAATTAGTCTTAATTGTAAGACATGCAATTAACCTAGAAACTAATGAAATCAGCACTGCAGATGCTTACATTCGTCATACAGTTTTAATTTCTAAAGTGTGACTGCTTGTGGATAACTTTCTTGGCCCTGGATTTCTTCGTGAGGTCAAGAAAATTATGTAAACTGTGGAAGTTTAATGAGAAGACAGAAGGCAGCTGATTATAGTCTAAAATATGAGCACTCCAAAGAAAGCAGAGTGGGAATGGAATGAGTCCAAGAGCTAATGACAGCAAAGGGCAGCTCATGCCTTACATATTTAACACGGTTCCACCAGGAAGCAAGTAACTCTTCATCTCAGCCCAAGTCCCGGTTCACGCTCTACCCACCAGAAAGGAAGACCCAGTGAGTGATTGAAGAATTGTCTAGTTGATGCTGTAAACTGAATGTGATGTTGCTGTCCCGGAAGATTCATATGTTGAAATCCCAAGCCCCAAGTACTAGGAGCTAGGGCCTTGGGGAAATCATCAGACCCCTCATGAATGATATTAGTGTCTTTATAAAAGTGACATCAGCAAGCTGCCTCCCCACTTCCTCTGTGTGAAGACACAGCAAGACGGTGCGATTGGTGAACCAGAAAGTGGACCTCACCAGACACTGTCTGTCTTCCTCTTGACCTGCTTGGTCTCTAGAATGGTGAGAAGTACACTTCAGTTACTGGCAAGCCAGTCTATGGCACTTTGTTTAAGCAGCCATGAAGATGGAGGTAGAGGAAGGGAAAGATGTTTGTTCTCTTTGTTTTAAATTTCATTTTTATTAGTTCATGTCTGCAGTACATAACGATTACATTCATTGTGGGGAGTTGGTACAGATACATAACACATCTCAATTTTTTGGTCCCTTTTCCCTCTCTTCTCTCCTCCCTCCTTCCATCTCTTCTTGGTCCTTCTCTTTTACAAAAGATCTATCTTCCTGTTTCCTAATTTCTATCTTTTCATTTTCCTCTTCAATTTATTTATTCTTTGGGTTTCTCATATAAGAGAAACCATGATATTTAAGCTTGTGCGTTTAATTCATCTCACTCGCTTGTTTTTTATTTTGCTTAGGCTTTGGGCTCCTCATAATTTGGAGACACTAGTTTGCTTTTCATTTTCTTAATTTTTAATTGGAAGAATACGTTTATCCAGAGCTAGCTAACTTTCCCATGTTATAATTAAGTCAAAGAAAGTAAATTTCTTTGGAAAACAAAATAACCTTTATCCTTAAAATCCAATTAAGTCTTCTATTAAAATTGAGATATAAATAAGATCAACTTAATTCCAGGAAATAATCAGCAATAAAATAAAAATTTACAACTCTACAAAAGGAATTGGCAAGATTAAAATGGAAGTGATTTTCCTGCTTATTAAGATATATGATGGAGATCCACAGTGGTCTTATGTGTAGACAAGAGCTCCTCTACTCCAGTTAGAATGGAGCCTTATGGATCAAGCGATGCCCCACCCTCTCTATAGCCTTGACAGCTCCTGGGACAGTTGTTCTCAGCACAGGCTGAGCATTAGAATTCCCTGGTGAAGACAAAATATTTTTAAAAATTATATTTCCAGCCCCAACCCAACTCAGCCTTCAGGGCCTAGATGTGTTTGTTTGTTTGCATTTACTTTTTTTCTTTTTTAAGATTCTTTTTTCTTTTTCAAGATTCCTGTGTGATTTTTACGTTTCTGCAGAAAATATTCAGACATTCGCCCAGCTGACTTAAAGGCAGGCTGCATGCATGTAGTAAAAGGATGATCGTTACAAGTCAGGAAATCTGGATTCTACTTTGGGGTCAAGTATCAAGAGGAAAGAGACATTCAGAAAGCCTGGGACCTTGCTGTGCCCCATTCCCTAGCTATGAAATCATGGTTTGAACCAGATAATGTATATTTAGCTCCTTCCAGCTCTCTATTTTCATTGGAATGTTCAATAAATCAGATTTTTTACGGACTCAGATGTGTCTTTCCTTAAGGAGTCTGATGTGGATGAATGTGAAATGGACTTTGAACTCCCTGGGGCTGAGATGAAACTTTGCTGAAAGCCTCATCTCCAGCCCTCACCTGGGTACCTGACATAGGGCTGAGCCAACGACAGTCGACAGTGTTGGTAGGATGAGGAGATTCTAGTGCCTGATATTTGCAGCAGAAAGAAAGCCTGGCTCCCCATAGTTTGTTTGTTTTAACTCGGGACCTTGCCTTTGCGAGGCAGGTGGCAGCGTTTTGTTTATAGTTTTGAAGATTTCACTTACAAGTGTCTATAGATGAATGTGCATAGGGGATTAATGTAAACCTCACACACTTCCGTCTTTTTACACATACAGACACACACACGCCTGTTCTCCTCCATTACTCATTGCACGTTATGTCTCCCACACTGGAACTTAGAATACAAGCAGACCTGTATATAACATATACAAAAGTCCCATGTTTAGAATCAGAGAGCGAACATTTGGATTCCTAAATCAACTGTTTCTTAGGTGAATAACCTTGAACAAGTCACTAACATTTTCCATTTTCTTATGTATGAACTAAAACCAGATGATCTTGAATGTTTCCTACTGCCAAGAGCCTATGGTGTTGGTAGGGATCAAGACAAAGCCAAGCACAGCTTCCTTGTGGTCCAGCGTTTTCATCTGGCAGTGCTCTGTGAGGAACAGAGGCACAAATAAGACATCTGACATCAAGAAGTGTAGGTTCTTCCCCAATAAACAACCAATGCAGCATAAGAAGAAGAACAACAAGATGCCAATTATTCAGGCTCTCCTCTGAACAAGGAGACAAGAAATTGGCAGGTTACTGCATCCTCAGTGACATAGATTGTGTTCAGTAGCCTTCTCCTTGTGACAAAATGACATAAGCAACTTAAAAGGAAGAAAGGTTTATTTTCATTCATAGTTTCAGAGCTTGCAGTCCATGGTTGCTTGGCCCAGTGGTCCCTGGGACTATGGTGGGGCAGTGCATCCTGGGAAAAATGCATGGCAAGGAAACAGAGAGGAGAAGGGGCCTGAGTCCAGTACATCCTTTCAGGTCATGGTACAGTAACCTACTTCTTCCAATTAGGCTCTTCCTCCTCCAGTTCTCACCACCTCCTGCTGGGTACCAAGCCTTCTACACATAAGTCGGGCAAATATTCCAGATCCGCACCGTGGCATAGACTCTGTGGGTGGACTGCCTCACACACAGTGCTCGTCCCAGACCTGCCTTGATGCTGAGGGTGATTTTCATTATTTGACAGACATCTTCTGGGAGGCCCAGGAAGAAATTTTATCTCAATGAAGACAGGACTAGACCATACATTTGGTAATAGGAAAGATAAGAGGTGATTCATCCAATACAATGCCCAGATTTCAAGCAGGGGTGATTGGAAAAATAGTGACATTAACCGAGGAGGGGAGGGGAGGGGAGGGGAAGGGAGAGGAGAGGAAAGAAGATGGGTGGAGGAGACAAGAAAGTTGGTTTCAGATACCTGAGTATTCCCGATCAGTGGAGAATCCCTGAAGGGTCTCAGGCTATTGAAGGTCAAAATTAAGTAGAAGATCTATTTATCAATAAAAATGTAAAAGCTCTTTTATAACTTAATGTTTTTAACTTACCATTTTAAGCTAATAAGAGTTTGAACTAATAAAATAGGTTTCAGAATGTATACCAATACACGTGTACTCTATAATCCAGATATATATTCTACATTGATTTACTCATTTCTTTAAACTCTCTAGCACCTGGGTCACCTACAATAGTGACACAAGCACAGGTCTTGTACCTTTTGGGGTTTGCTATGGTTTACATCTAAATGTCTCCCTAAAGCCTCACCTATCGTCAGTGTGACCTTTGGGGATGCCTGGATTATAGGGGCTCTATATCTTTATAACATTGTACTGTGGGTATCTCCATTCCCAGCTCTTGCCTTGACTCTTGCTGCTTCTTCCACCATGCTATGAGTGGCCCCTCTGCCATGCTGCCTCACCTTGGAGCCAGTCAACTATGGACAGAAACCTGTACTGTAAGCCAAAATAAACCTCTCCTCCTTTAAGTTGTAGGCATTGGTACGTTGTTCCAGCAGTGAGGAAGATAACTGAGACAGGATTCCTTCAAATTAAGTGATTATTTGGCTTTTCATGCTCTGGGGTTTCTCAGATGATTCCCCAGCCCATTCACCTTTAGGAAAATACACTAATTCTCAGAAAGCAGAAGTGGCATATGAAAGACTGCATGCCAAATGTTTGGAACAAAATTGGCATAAGATAGTGGCCAAATTACACCTGAGGATATTGCTCTAGCCAGTATAGGATATTTCTACCCGTCCATCTCAGCACAAAAGCTATAGAAGTGGAAGGGAAAAATGACTTCAGCAAGAAAGGAATGATATTCTCCACAAATGAATGAGTGAGGGTAGCAATCCACAAGCCCAGTAAAATCCCCACAGACTCCTTCCTGTGCACACACACACACCGAAATAGCACATGCTTGGCCATTTAGTGCATCACTTGATCCATATAGAAGGACTTAGAGAAGACTGAGACTCCAGGGCTGCATGAAAAATACAGCACTGTGCTTTATTTCTTTGAGGTTAACTCTAGAGTTCTATCCAGATGGGTGAGGAACCAACATATGAACAAGTGTGTGCTAGGAAGAACATGTGTTCCCACGTTCACAAGCCCCAATGCACTTTTTGGAATCTGTTTTCTAATCTATAAAATGAAAACCGCAGCACATACCTGACGGTGTTATTTGGTGGATCAAAGTGAGGGTGCATAAAGTGTCCTGAACACAATTGATCTTTCTGTGTGATTGCATCCAGCCACAGACCACCTGAGCGACATTGTCTGTCTCCAGTGTAGTTTCTCCAGAATAGAGGCTAGGTCTTATGGCTTCTGATTTTTCAATGATGACCACAATTTTTGGCACACTGTAAGAGAAAATGGGGTGAGCACTGCTTTGGATGATGGGGAGCTCTATACTTATTTGCTCTCGAAATCTGAGCTAAACCTCCATTCGTACTCAGAAAATTGTCTGCGAATATTCAGATCTGAGTTGGACATAATTCTAGTCCTACTCTCTGGGGTCTTTGGCAAAAACCCACAATTCCTAGACCAGTATTTCCATCCTTGCAGGATGCCACTGAATGGTAACTGAGGGACTGACCAGATTAATGAATTTTATCAGGATGAAATTGAAAAAAATCATTTGGGAAATTATTTAAGAAATGATGTGGCTCAAGTTATGAATAAAATGGATAGAGGAGATAATTTTTCTTTATTTTACTGACCTAATTGGTACCAGGTAAAGGAGTCTAAGCCACTAGGAGAATTGAAATTTTTTAATTATAAGAACTTAAGCTTATCCCAAAATATGATGAATAATTACCAAAAATAGAACCAAAGGAAAAGTACACTAAAGGAAATAACTCTCTTATAAAGGGAAGATGATGTTGATTGTTATTATTATAAATTGATTATAAACTTTCCCGTTAGAAAATAATGGGATAAATAATAACTCACAGTGTTTCTAGATCTTTCATTAGATTCCAGAGAGAAAGATATCCATATTTCTGGGCATGATGCTTTTACAGTGTGATTTTTTAATTAAGTTTTTAGAATTATTCCTCAAGTGATATTTCTGCTTTTTAGTAGCTTTTTATCCATTTAAGAAAATGCTTTATTTTAATTCCAATGTGGGCCTTCCACTTACAAGATTTTTTAGATTAAGTGAATTTCCACCTACTTAGAACCATTTTGCTGCCATTACACCTGGATTTCGCTCATTTCTCTTTTCCTTCCTCAGACTCTACCATTTTCCTCCATCAATAGAAGCAGTGACAACCAAAGGCTAACAGAAGCCAGGACCTAGAAAAAGTTTCCCATCCCTGCTTACTAACACTTAGATACTCCCTCTCTTACTGTTCCAAGGTAGAGGTAAAATACTTTATAATTGTGGGTCACAAAATTGTCACTGACAACAAATCTCAGTGCTTCCAAATCACTTTGGAAATATAAAGTGTGATATAAATGCTTAATTTTTTTAAGTGACATGAGACACATTTGCTATTTTTACTACCTGTCTAACAAGAACCCACGCACATTTTTCTAAAATAACTGAGTTTGAAGCCAACAAGAAATCACCCAAGATACTGAACACCACTCTTCAGTTTCACAAAGAAAGTGCCATCTGAACCCATCACAACTGTCCTTGCTATAAAGAACAGATTCCTTGAAAGGAGCCCTAATTTATAAGGATTGTCCTCTTGCAATCCTTCTCAAACCAGAAATTCAACCTCCTCACAAGTACCCCAAAAACATCCACACTCACCAAAGGACTTTCTCTCCTTTTCTCCTTCTCTATGCAAATCAGCAAAAAGTAGATTAAATGTGTGATTCTCACTGAAGCTCAGCAGCAAGTAAAATCAAAAGGGCAATTGATGACATTGTGGCATATACAGCATCTTGATAAAGATGTTCCTGTGGAATCAAAAGGGTCAAAATTGACTCTTCTCTACATATTGTTTGGAAGAGGTCAACAGAAAAAAAGAATCTCATATTTTTCAGCTTACCACCTGATCACCAAACATTAATTGGCCACTGACTATGTAAACTGCTGAAATCCATAATTATTCCATCACTATTCCCACTTAAAGTATACTTTACCAAGGTGATGTGGCTATATACAGTCTTCATAAATATGGGAAATAATTAGAGATATGGAGAGGAACCTAGCATTCCATTGCCACCTGTTATCCTTAGTAGGACCACACACCTGAAGGGCCATAACTCCTGACTCTTGTAAATGCTCTTTGACCTTGCTTGACCTTCATTCACATGGGAAAGGAGTTCCCATGTGAATATTGCAGAAGGATTCTGACCAGGAGATGAGGAGACCCGGATCTAAATGTAAGCAAACCTAACCAAATTACCATTAAATAACAAAGACAAGACAAAGCCCTCTGTTTCCCCTGAGTCTAGGAAATCACAGCTGAGACACTCTGATTCCAGTTTTTCAATTACTATTTTTAAAGCATTTGTGTTACTTGCTATTGTTCTACACATTGGCTGAGGGAGAGAACTGAGAGAAAGTAAATTAGCATTGCCTTTAAGGAGCCCCATTTAAGTCCCATTGCAGGAACAAGATTTATTAAAAAGCAAAGTACACAACAAAAGGAGCCAGGATAATTACTAACTCCTGTGTACCTAGTTCTGAAAGAACTTAAAGAAGAGGGACTTAGATGAGTCTTCATGAGGAGGTAGGAATGGACTGTGGTCTGTGGACAGCTTTGGGATAGGTGAGTAGTACATGGCTAATTGAGAAAAGGCAGAAAGCCATGGTATTAGAATTGGAATAATGGTACCCATTGACCCAGCCCATTCATTCACATCTCTTCTTTGAGCCCTGCCCTAGTGGGGAACACCCTGTTTTGCTTAGGTGAATGTGTTTCCAATGGCAGCTCTGCCATTAAGAGTCCTTTGGAATTGGCTAATGGAGAAACATCTTTATAGCTCTATTTTCTTTTGTGAGATAATTCTATCTACCTTACAGATCTACAAAGATAGTAAAATACTGCACACTGCTAGCCCATTGAAGAAATTCAAGTAATATTAGCTTGCTTTCACTCTAGGAGTACATGAGCAGTTGTGTCTGTAGGACCGACTTATTTATTCACTCAAATCTATTATTCTCTCCTTCCTCTACAACAATAAAGCTACAGTGGGGCCCATGCTGCTGAGCCAGAGGCTACACCTACAACCTTCCCTTGCAACTACTTGATCTTTGGGACATTGCTCCGGCTGGTGGCAAATAAACAGAAAGGATGTGTCTCTTCCAGGCCTGGGCTTGAAAAGAATCTCTGTGCTTTTTCTTCTTCCTGTTCCTTGGAACCCAAAACTCGAATCTGATGAATTCAAGTAGAAGTCATTGCCTAAATATATATATGGAGAATCAAGTTGCAAGGTATCTAGAGCCCCAAAATGACAATGTAGTGCAGAACAGACCCCTTACACCCTGGGATCAGTACGGGAAAGCAGAATAAGCTTTGTTCTCTTAGCCGCTGCCATGTGGGGTGTCTTGGCACATCGCCTTAGCCTTTTCATCTAACTAACACAAAATCTTACGTGTTCCTTGGGAAATTCATCTCATTTAGACAGAGCAGGTATTATTCCCATGTGGCAGAAGAGCCAACTAAAGCCAAGGTCAGCCCAAGGTCGCACGACCTTCGGATGCTGTTTCGTTCCCTGATTCCCCGTGATAATGCTGCCCCTTCCTCCTCCTGAGGTTGTGAACATGAGAACTGTTTAGATTGAAGTCTTGATGAAAGTATGACAGGGTTGAATTTGGATTTTGCATTTCAAATATAGAATCATGATCCTAGATCTTAAATTAAACTGCACATCACAAGTGGTTTTCGTAATTATTCCCATTACACATTTGCTGCCACTGTAAGATTTCAAGAAGCACTGGAAGATGTAATTGCAACACCGAGTTATGGAATCCAGGACAGAAATGTTTGGCATTGCGGGTAATTTACACCCATAATGTAATTAAAAAAGAGGCAATTTGCATTCAGATTTGCACATTAAAGTATTTTTTCTGATTATAAATTAAAAAAAAAAAAGCTCTAGCAAGCACAAGAGATTTCTGAGTGTTCTGACAATTAGTATTTTAGACAAATGACATTGAGAAAGAAAATTTTCTAATCCTTTTCTGGAGTCTTAGCGGTTTGCCAAGGAAAATAATAAGCTGTCTGTCAGATATTTTAATGTGAGGCATGCTGTGATAAATAACTGTTTGCACCCCTACACTATTTTGCTGAAATGTATTTATAATTTCTCTCTGATCTACAGCTATTGATAGGATCTGCATATAAATAAAAAGTTTGAAAGGCATGAACCAAAACACTTGAAATGGATAAGAATACAAGTGTTACATTAACAAGGAAATTAGAATTTATGATTATCAAAAAAGGATTCATAGATAATACAGGACATCTGTTTGTGGAGACGAGAACATTACATGTGGGGTGGAGCCCTTCCTGCTATGTAAAGGTCCTCAACCAGGTATGCTAGCTCTCTGTCTCGATCGCCTGTTTGTTTGTTTATTGTGTTTTGTTTGTTTTGTTTTTATGGTATTGAGGATTGAACCTAGGACCTTCCCTCTGAGTTACATGCTCAGCTCTTTTTATTTTTTTTATTTATTTATCTTTTTTTGAGACAAGGTTTCACCAAGTTGTCTAGGCTGGACTTGAACTTGCAGTCCTCCTGCCTCAGCCTTCCAAAGTGCTGGGATCAAAAGAGGGCAACACCATACCCAGTTCACAGTGAAATAAAAGAAGAAAGGAAAAAAAAGAAGAAAGAAAGAAAGAAGGGAAAGAAAGAAAGAGAGAAAGAAAGAAAGGAAGGAAGAGAGAGAATCTCACAGGAGGTCCATCAAATGTGGCCAGTATACAGTAGAAGCTCAATAAACACTTTTTACATTGTTAAAAACCTAAATATGGAGAAAGGGAAAATCTAATCATAGCTATCCTTTATTGTGCACTCTTCTAAGACAACTCCATGAGAAGGACTCGGGTTAGCCCCCCATGTAACACATGAGGAAACGCACGGATGCAGGATTCAGTGGCTGAGTCCCAGGTCTCACAGCTGGAGAATGAAGAGTGGGACCGATAGGATTTGAGTTGAGCAGCCCAGACCTTGCAGCTTCATGGTAAATGTCAGGATACCGCCACTTCCGATAGAGAGGCTTCCTCCCCTTCATCCACTCTGGTGGAGTTGTTGCTTTGCCCTCTGGCAGATACATCACCAGCAGCCCTGAAATGAAATATTTAATGTGTATTCAAGGAGAAATGCAGATTCACAAAGTCGCATGTTCTGTTCCTTCTCAGTCAACACGTACTTCCAGAAACAAGAGGAAAGGAAATAAAAAAGAAAGCACAATTAGAGTACTCTGCCTTGAATGATCTACTATAGGTGTTACCGGCTACCTGGCCACTTTCTCCTCCTTGTTATGTCTGTGTGCGAGAAATGGGAGAGAATAAGGACGTCCCACTTAGGAACAGCCACATGCCTGGTTATCTGGGAAAATAAACTTTTCTTTTACCTTGTCATTAAACCAGTGGCCCGAAAGCAAGCATTCAATACCATTCTGACCGAATAGGTTTGTAATCACTTCCACGCTAAATTTTTACTGCCAAACCTGGTGATTAAAAGGGCATCGATTTACTTCTCTTTTACCCCAGGGCAAACTCTTGTCTCTCCAGCTAGTCTTTAAACTCCTCATGAAAGGTTTAAGTGAAATGGGTGTGGTGTCACAGGCCTGTAATCCCAGCCACTCAAAAAACTGAGGCAGAAGAACTCAAGTTTGAGGCCAGCCTGAGCAATGACAGATTGTATCAAAGTGAAGATAAAGAGGGCTGGAAGTGCAGCTCCGTGGTAGAGACCCTGCTTGTATACACAAGGCCTTGGGCTCTACCCCTGTAATCTCTTGCCAACATCTTGAGGTCAGACTTTTAGCCTCTAAAATTGTAAATCAAAAAATAAATTTCTGTCGTTTCCAAATTTTTGTTGTTTTATGTGGTACTTTATGGCAGCGTACAGACCACAAAATGCAGAGTTTACCTGGATTATCCAGAGGGTCTGACATAGTCCCCTTAGAAAGGGAAGACAGAAGGTTCAGAGCGAGAAGGACATATGAGATGAAGCAGAGCTTAGTGAGAAGAGAAAATATTCTGTTGCTAGTTTTGAAAATAGATAAATGGTCCATGCGCCACAGTCTCTGTGGCATTTGGGAGGCAGAGGGGCCAAAGAAATGTGCTCCCTCCCAGAGCTACAAAAGGGACACAATGGCAAGAGCAGCTTGGTTTCAACTCACTAAGACTTATTTTAGACTTTTGACCCCTGAACTATAAGATTATAAACACATGTTCTTTTAAGCTCCTGAGTCTGCGACAATGTGTTACAGCAGCAGCAGGAATAAATGCAGGGGTCTGTGCTGCCATCACAGGGTTCCCCAAGTCTGTCCTTTCTGCTCCGGTCTCTCCCCTCACCTCCTTCCTCCATCTACTCCTTTGAGTCCCATCTGGATTACTGCAATGGCCTCCACAGCTTATCTCTCTGCTTCCAGCCTCTTTTATCCTCCAAACTATTCTGCTCCCTTCAGCCAAGGTGTTTTTCTAAAATATCCTCAGTGTTGAGTGAAACAAATCAGACTCACAAGCTTACATACCACAGCATTTCTCTTATACAACAAACCCAAAGTACAACTAAATCAAGGAACAGAAAAAGAGAATAAGAAATGGGGAGATGGGGAGATAGATCTTTTGTAAAAGAGAAGGGGGCCAGAGATGCAGGGAAGCAGAGAGGAGGGAAATGAGACAAAAATAAAAAAGATTGAGACATGTTAAGTGCATGTACCAACTCTGCACCCTGCGTGCTGAATGTAATCATTCTGTATTGCAAACACGTACTCATAAAAATAAATTTTTTTTAAAAATCCACTGGACCAGGTCACTGTTGTACTTAAATGCTTCACTGCCTCCAACCAGCAAAGAAACAAATGCAAAGGTACTGTCAGGATGTAGCAACCCCTCCAAGGTGTCTCCTCTGCTGCCCGCTGCAGCCAGGCCTTCTTCCCCTGTCTGGCCAGTCCTGGCTCTCTGTACTTTCTGTATTGGGCTGCATGTCCCTTCCCCTCAGCGGGGGCTGAATGCTCCTTGCATAGAACAGTCACTTGCAGGTCTGAGCACAGGGCTCTTGCCCTCCCTCCCTGTTATGCTGCAAAGGTGCCACTTCCTCCAGAAAGCCCTCCCAGAGTCTCATCCACCCTCAACGCAGGTTGATTTTATGGCTGGCTCCTGCTCCTGGGATGTATTGTGTCTCTCTCTCTGGCTGTGCTAGACCCAGCTCCTCGGCGGTAACTGTGTCTAGCCCAGCTGAATCCGGCATTGAACTCTGTCCATCCAGGCTGGGGTCCTTCTTTTTTTATGGTTCCCTGAGGTTTTCAGCACAGGGCCTGATACTAAAAAGATGAAAAGTTTGTCAGATGAAAGTTTGAGGGAAAAAAGGGAGAACTTCATCTACTCATCCATACAGCAAATATCTCTGCAGCATTCACCATCAGAAAAGCCATGTGGGGAATACAAATATATATAACTTGGTGTCTGCCACTCAGACTCTTATGGTTAATCAGCATGCTGGTGTGTTTGTTAAATGGCCAGCAGTAGTAGCATCTAACCAGCCCACAAATAATAACCTTCAGGGACAGAGAGAATTCATACATGGGAAAATAGGAAGGATTTAGATAAGTGGTTTCCCAAGACCTGGTCATGGAAACACAAATGAGCCTGGAAAACCAGACAAAGACGCTGTCCTCACCATGATATCAGACCTCCAGTAGAATCCCAGCAGCCGGACCACAGTGTGGGTGTGCACTGGCACACCTGCCTAGCCCTTCGGAAACAAGACAACATCAGGTTTCCAGGGTACACTGAACACGAGAGAAAGATAGAGCCATGCACACTACCAGGAAGCAGGAGAAAACATAACCAATTATATTAAATGAGTCACACTGGCTATGGAAGGATGTTCATCATTAGACATCCAGTCCCTAATAATTTTATGTAATCCAAATCCAGGAGCTGATTGCTGCCATGACTAATACAGGATACATGTGTCTTCTTTTCAAGGTCAACATGGCTCAAGAAAAATGAGAAAGAGTTCTCTTCCTTGACCCCATCTAATAATGCAGAAACCAAAGCAGATTTATACAGTTGACAAATAGGGCTGAGTCAGAGCACTTTATCCCATAAGTAACGAAAATGGATTTCAGGCTGACTTGTCTCCAAGCAACCTACATAAGTAAGTACAACCAAGTAACCGTGATTTTAGTTTATAAAATAGATGAGCAATGGGGCCGGGGATTTAGCTCAGTGGTTTCGCCGCCTGCTGCGCAAGCGCAAGGACCCGAGTTCAATCCCCGGTACCAAAATAAGTAAAATAAAATAAAATAGATGAGTAAGAGATTCACTTAAAATTATTCATGGCTGTCCCTTTACGGTCTTAATAGCTTTGGAAAGCCACTTCCTTGCCGGCTGTCCCGTTGTAAGCTTCACTAATGAACATCATGGCCCTAGCTACTGCTGTGGCCCAGATTCAAATTCTTCTTACTGGGTCTCCCAGCATAGATTTAGTTTAAATAGCTAGACATCCACAGAAAACATGTAAATGAATGACTACAAGGTTTTCCTTTAAACTTAAATGTATGTAAATGTATAGCTGTATTAGTACGTAAATGATAGGTTGATAAATTAATGTGTACTACACATTAAAGTCTCCTAAAAACTAAACAGAAAGAGCAAGTAAATGTGAATGATAGACACCAAATAAAATAATAGACACATGATTAAGGACATTATTCATTATGGTCCTTAATGCACAACAATGACTGAATTAAATGGCCTTCATATTACACAGAAGTTCAATTTAAAATAAAACATAACAGACAAGGAATTCAAAGTTTTTATTCTTAGTATCTTCAATAAAGTCACAATCCAAGAAAAAAAGTTCATCGCAGAAGATTTTTAAATGTTTTATTTTTTATGGAAATAGAAGAAACAGCAAAAGAATGCATAGTAGTATGCTTTGGGTCTTTTTAGCATGACCTAATAGTTAAGCAATGAGCTTCTAAATGAGATTTTTGACTATGCTGGACATCCTGGCCTTCTGATGACTGAAGGACCACCTTCCGAAGTCAGATTCCTAAATTCCTTTCCTTAACTCCATGACCAAGCTGTGTGTGTGCTTAACCTCTCTGTGCCACTGTAGTCAGTCTTTTTGCTATAAATTGCAGATAGTAATACCGTCATCTCAAAAACTTGTGATGATTAAATGAGATAATTCAGCCAAATCTTGGCACAGCGTCCATCATATAATAACTTAATTAAGTTATTGATTTAATTATTGCTATTGATATCACTATAATGTGCCTCCTCTTAATTTTTTCATGCTGATTGAGACTAGACTTAATACCCTACTAAAGGGATTTTTAATGGAAGCAGTAGATCTGAATTCTGGTCCCAATCCCACAGCTTACCAGATGTATGGGCTTGGACAAATCTCTTAATCAATTTAATCAACTGTAAAATGAAAATAATAATTTGGCCCTGCCCTGTCTCTCCCCATTACTCAGGCCAGAAAACAAAAACATGGTTTGGTCATCTTTTGTTTTAGTTTCATGACACTGATAAAGCATTGTTCACATGCAAAAGTCTGATGGGGGTGATGATGATGATGGCTTTGGGGTTCGGGGTACCATTCATAATAGTGCTTCACCCTCACTAGGCCCAGTTCCAAGGTGCCACCTCCTACTGGCAAACCATGAGTCACACCTTGATCTTCAGCTTCATAATGACTTTCATTTCAGTCATCCAAGAGACAGAGGCAAGCAAGAGAAGGGACAGAAATTACTATCAGATCCAATTAGGCTTCCCTGATCTATTATCATTACCATTATTATTATTATCAATTGTTATTAATTTATTATTCTTCATCTAAAGAGACTTTAAAAATCTTTTCTAAAAAGGAAAATCCAAGCTCAATACCCAGGTAGAACCCAGACCTCATGGTACACACCATCACAATCCTTCTTCTAAAGTTAGCAAATTACATAGTCGGATATACTTATTTTACAAAATGGGGCATGAAATTTTATAAGCAGAAAGATCCTCTCTGTGTTTAAATTACAGAGAAAAAAACCTAGAACACATAAATTATTGTCTCTCTGCAAAATTTATACCCTAAAATATACAAGCTTCTTGGCAAGGCAAGGGGAGGAGAAGGAGCTCTCACGGTGGGGCCATCTTCAGAGGACTGAGGAAAAAATCCTGCTTTTCAGAACTCCCAAGGTCATGTAAAAAGAACCCAGGCCTGGGACAACGAGACTTAATTATTAGATGGGGCTTTTTGCCATTATGTCCCTGGGTTTGACTCTTTTCAGATATTCAATCCAAGGGTATTAAAGCCTTGATCTGCTGCAGCTTAGCAAAGCTCATTTTAATTAAGAGTCTCTAATACAACAATGACATCTCTTGCTAAGTCAGGCCTTGGTAAGCTTGGAGTGAAATATGCGGTGACTATTAGATGGCTGAATTGGTGCAAGTCATGTGCAGTGCAGAGTTTTAAAAATTCAAATACTGTCCATATCATTAAGCTCTGCCACGTTAGAGTTAAAGCTGACAAGATCAATTAAAAACATGCAGAAAATTAATACAGCAGTATTTTAATGCATCTACTGAGCTTTATCTTTAGAATCACTTCTAGCAAGGCTCTATTACTTTTTAAAAATTCTTAGTCTTCCTCCTCTGGTTTTCACAGAACTGATTCACGGCTGGAGGGATTACACAGCAAAAAATCAGCAAGCTATGTTAAATCTGAAAAGCTTCATTTTTTTCCCCATAAAACATGAAATTTCTGGGTAGAGAGTTTGAAAACTGATTAAGTTAATATTTGGAACACATAAAGATGAAATGTATTAAGCTTTTTAAATACTTCAATTAACTTCATAAAAGCAGTCACTGACAGAAACAAAAAGCAATATTCAATGCACAAAATATTTGTCAACAGAAACAAACTATTTCGGTGGCTTGAGTCAGAAGAGGGACACTGGTTCAGACAGATTCATTTTAAATAAAAACAATAGGGCCATATATTCACGTCCTAATTTTCCCGACCAGAAACAGACTTTTTCCTCTGAGGATATTTTTATTTTGCTTTCTACATCTGAAACAAAAACAAACAGAATAGGTCAAATCTGCATCTAAAGTTTGACATCCCAAGGCCCAGGTAGGAACAAGTCCTGTGGTTTTCTTTTCCCTTATGTTTCCATGATAGCAAACTGAGTTCCTGTTCTCCTACATCAATAACACCTTAAATAGGCAGCAAAGGTCAATTTATAAATAACTATTCAGCATGAGTTTTAGAGTCAGATCCCAGGCAAAAGGATCAGGTTCAGGACATCACGGAAGGTGGACAAAAGTACTCATCACCTCGTCTTGTTCCAATGCAGCCTACAAATTTGACAGTGGTTGATTCCTTTCCAAGCTTCTTACTTGCTGCTAGGTTCCCACACACCATCCTCCTTGCATTTTTGTATAATATATTTTTTGAAAGAAGAAATATAAGAAAATAAGAGAGAAAATTCCTTGTTTTATCTTTATTTTTTGATCCAATAAATAAACTTCTTATGCAAAAAAAATATTTTCCCATTACCATTAGACAGACCCTTTAGAAAATCTCACAGTGGCTATCTCTTAACTCAAAACTGAACATTTGCACTTTTCCCACCAAAGGATTTTATAGACTGGAACATGTTCTGTACTTCTCTATAAATTGATTCAAACAGACGGTAGCTTATGAAACAACTATCCAGAGATAATGTCATTGAAACTCTTACATCTAAGTCTTATGTGTAATTTCTGTATTTAGAATAGATTACAAAAGTATTATAGTAAACTCAATTCCATCAATCCAGTGTCATAAACTCAGATACATTTCCATGCTTATTTTCTCTCATTAATATTTCAAGAAGATTCCATAGTGCCATTAGGTTTTTTAAAAGTACAAAAACATTTTGGTCTATAAACAATATTAAGGTGGTAAATGTTTTTCAAAAACATGAGACAAAAAGGGAGGAATGTCTGCTTTAGCTTTTTTTGAAAAAGTTTTCATACTAAATTCACTGATGGCTATAACCTTCAAATCACCTCCAGAAGAGTCAAAGTGAGAATCTAATATAAATGGGAACATTCTGCTAAATGAGGATGTGGAGCCATCATTCCTAAATGACAGAAATATTCTATCCTTAATAAAGTGTCTGTTATAATTCTGTACATTCCCTTGTAGGGCCCAGAATATGCAATACTTTGGGTGACATTGATGCTAAAATTTAAGCTATAGGCACTAGATTTAGCCTAAGTAATTAGCTGTGATTTTATTTGTACACAACGCTTTGCTCCCTCTGTAACCAGTTGGAAGCTTAACAATTTTTTGAGCTAGTTTAGATACAAGGCAAAACAGGCTAATTGTGAAATTAGACATGTGTTTCCTTGTAAATGTCTCTCTGCAGAGTCATCTCATTGCCAAAGCCCTAAAGAAAACTAGCAGCTGAAGCCTGCCCATTAACCATGTGCTCTCCTTGCACAAGGCGCTTTTGGTGAATGTGCAAAAGAAACCACCAAGGATTTGTATCTATTTTAATAGAAACAGAAAGTGATACATAACTAAGGCGAAATCACTCCACAACTAGCATGTAGCATTATCTGGATAGCATCCTGCTGAGGCTAAACCTGAGATCTGGTACTTGACAGAAGCAACGAGTTTTAATTCTTTTCCTTTATTTGTCCACATGAAGCCAGAAAGCCTAATTTTTACAGTAGTCACAAGTCAGTCCCCCAAATGTCATCTGTCTCTCTTAGCAACTTGAAACACAAGTTCTCCTTGCCTGAGAGGTAACTGTCGCTCAGCAAACTGGAGTAGCCAGCCTCCCCTACACAGCCTGCAGTGCTGCAGTTTCCCATTAGTGAAACAAAAGTCATTCCCTAAATTAACCCCTTGTTCTTAAAACATTATTTGTATTTTAACATTTTAACACAGATGGGCCAAGGGAGCTCAGAAACAATTTAAATAAAGCCCTCTAAAAACTCAACCCTTTTCTGATTAACTTACTGATTAATGCAACTCTGTCACTTAAAGGACTAGAGAAAGCTCACTGTGAAAAGAAGCTAGTTGAGTCTGAAGTCTACTTTTTAGAAAAGGTGATTCCTTCCCACCTACAGCAAGCATTTTGCACTCAATCACTTGTGTGTATGGACCCAACCCTGTCATTAGTCCTGCATCTGTCCTTCATTTTGTCTTGCAGGATTCTGAACCTTTTTAACCCTAAATTACCCCAAAAGCACTATCCAAAATAAAAGGATATTTAACAATTAGGGATGCACCAAACAACAAGAAGTTTGTGTAAAGCCCTTGTGTAAATTAACATGTTTAAAGATAAAGTAAATCTACCCCAAATCAGGTATGAAAATCTAGAACAGAAAACAAAAATATTTTTGTTTTATTCAAGGTTGTGATGAGCCTGTTGGGCAACTTTTAAATAAATTTAAAATTAATTCAAGTGCCCTTTCATTTATTGCATTTACACATGAAAAGTACCGAACCAACAGATAAAACAATTATTTGTTTTCAAATTTATCATCAACTATTTCCCTGGACATTACCTCTCTGCAGATTTCTTTTCAAGAAATATTTGACCTTCAAATTCCAGGCCTTATATGTCCTGACTCCCCACATCTACGATATATTAGAAAAATTCAAACGGGGCTTCAAGTATATATTTCTGTTAACTGACTTTATTGAATTTTGTCTCTTTTCAAAACCTGCACTCCGCATTGTGCCAACTCTGCATTGCAGAGAAGTCTCAGCGTGGGATTCCAGCTTGGCTCCTGCAGAGTCACTAGAAGCAGGCTTTAACTGTATTTCCTTGGGGGAGAGAGACGGGCAGGGAGCGCCCGCCCCCGCCCGCCCCCGCCGGCCTGGCAGGGGGCCTGGGCCCGGAGCCCACCCCTGGGGCCACCACTTCCACTCGCGGCCTGGGCGCTGTCCTTGGTGCTGCCGACGCCCTGCGAGCACCAGCGCCTTACCTTCTGCCCTGCGGAAGTGCGGACGACCCCAAACGTTAAGCAGCACGCTGCTCCACATCCCACTTTCGATATAAATAACTACCCGGCCTGTCCTTTGTCCCCTTTCCGCAGCGTTCAGGCTCGAGCGTTCCTCAAAGTCTTTTCCTCTTCAGGACACCACTCCTCTGCGCTCAGCTCTGGCTGCTTTAAAACAAGGATGGGGGAAGGGAAGGGAGGCAAAGGAAGGTGGAGATGGGGGAGGGAGGGAGGTGAAGGGGAGAAGAGAAGAGAAAGCTGGAAGGAAAAGGTCCCGGCGGAAGAGGCTTGGGGCGAGGGCTGGGCGAGTGGGACTAAAGAGCGCCAGAAGCAGGCGGGAGAAGAGGGTCCCAAAGGCGAGGAAGTGGCCGCGCGCAAAAGACAGGTAAGGCAAGAAGCAGCGGGGACGGAAATGGAGAGCTCAAAGCAGGGGTCCGGGAGTCCGAGAAAGAGCTGCCCGGAGCGGGGCTCGGCGGCGGACGGAGACAGGGCGGAGGGCAGGCCTGCGCGCCCGGGACAAACTCCAGGCTGAAAGTGAAAGGCGGACAGGGGCCTAGGGCCGCCGAGGGGTCTGGGCTTCAGGGACGCCGGGGCGCGGGGGCGCTGGGGCCGGGCCGCCGAGTGGGGGCGCGCTGCGGCTCCGGCCCACGTGGAGTGGGCGCTGCACCACCGCTTTCCCGGCCCGGACCTGCAGGCCCCGCCTCCTCGGCCGCCGCCTCCACGGGGCGGGGCCCTGGCCCGGGACCAGCTGCGCGGCTATAAACGAGCTGCGGCGAGGCCGGCGGACCGCTGTGACAGCCACGCGCTCCGAGGCCTCCACGATGAGCTACGCGCTGGACCCGCTGGGCAACCCGGCCGCCTACCGGCGGATCGCCGAAACCCGCTCGGGCTTCAGCCGGGTCAGCGGCTCCCCGTCCAGCGGCTTCCGCTCGCAGTCCTGGTCCCGCGGCTCGCCCAGCACCGCGTCCTCCTCCTACAAGCGCAGCAGCGCGCTCGCCCCGCGCCTCGCCTACAGCTCGGCCGAGAGCAGCCTCGACTTCAGCCAGTCTTCGTCCCTCCTCAACGGCGGTTCCGGCGGCGGCGACTACAAGCTGTCGCGCTCCAACGAGAAGGAGCAGCTGCAGGGGCTGAACGACCGCTTCGCTGGCTACATCGAGAAAGTGCACTTCTTGGAGCAGCAGAACAAGGAGATCGAGGCGGAGATCCAAGCGCTGAGGCAGAAGCAGGCCTCGCACGCCCAGCTGGGCGACGCGTACGACCAGGAGATCCGAGAGCTGCGCGCCACCCTGGAGCTGGTGAACCACGAGAAGGCGCAGGTGCAGCTGGACTCCGACCACCTGGAGGAAGACATCCACCGGCTCAAGGAGCGCTTTGAGGAGGAGGCCCGGCTGCGCGACGACACCGAGGTGGCCATCCGCGCGCTGCGCAAAGACATCGAGGAGTCGTCGCTGGTCAAGGTGGAGCTGGACAAGAAGGTGCAGTCGCTGCAGGATGAGGTGGCCTTCCTGCGCAGCAACCACGAGGAGGAGGTGGCGGACCTGCTGGCGCAGATCCAGGCGTCGCACATCACGGTGGAGCGCAGAGACTACCTGAAGACCGACATCTCCACGGCGCTGAAGGAGATCCGCTCGCAGCTCGAGTGCCACTCCGACCAGAACATGCACCAGGCCGAAGAGTGGTTCAAATGCCGCTACGCCAAGCTCACCGAGGCCGCGGAGCAGAACAAGGAGGCCATCCGCTCCGCCAAGGAGGAGATCGCCGAGTACCGGCGCCAGCTGCAGTCCAAGAGCATCGAGCTCGAGTCGGTGCGCGGCACCAAGGAGTCCCTGGAACGGCAGCTCAGCGACATCGAGGAGCGCCACAACCACGACCTCAGCAGCTACCAGGTAGGAGCCGCGGCTGCGCAGCCAGCCTGCGCCAGCGCCAGCGCCGCGCGCCCCCGACGCTCCTGCGCGCGCCCGGTCGCCTCTCTGTCTCGCTCCCGGGAGGCCGCTAGCCAATGCGCGCTAGCGCCGCGGCCCCAACTTAGAGGCAGGAAAGTGTCCCCGGCCCCTCTCCGCCTCCCCGTCCACCTGCCCCAGCTGCGTACAAATCCTGACGTTTTGCAAACACCTGCTTCTTTTCCTCGGTGGTCTTATTTTGCACACTCGGGCGTTTAAAGAATAGTTGATAAACAACTTTAAGGTAGCCTTTGTAGAGATGCAGGCATCCTCTACTTCTCCATCAGGGACTGCAGGACCTCTCGGAATTGGCGTCAGCCAAAAGGGCCCGGACGGGAAGGGAGGCCCAGGTCCGCCCTGGAGTTTCCGCTGTGCGGGAGGCGCGGTCCTCGTCCGCCGGCCTCAGGGCGTGCTGTGTCTCGGAAACATGTTGCTGATTTTGTTTGTGACTCCCTTGGCTTTAAAAGGAAAAGGAGAGGGAGATAGGCAAGGTTTGCAGCCCCGGGGAGGAGGCTGGGGGCAGGGGATGTGAGGCCAGGCGGGAAGCGGCTCGTGAAGGAAGCGGCTGCCCCAGGACCCGTCTACCGGGATTCTCTGTCTGCTCCAGGACACCATCCAGCAGCTGGAAAACGAGCTTCGGGGAACCAAGTGGGAAATGGCTCGTCATTTGCGAGAGTACCAAGATCTCCTCAACGTCAAGATGGCCCTGGACATCGAGATCGCTGCCTACAGGTAGGGCGCTCACCGCACTGCGGAGGCCGCTCAGGCGGAAGTGGGCAGGCCAAGGGTCTGAGACCGGGCCTGGTCTCCTTTGTTAATGAATAAGAAATTATCCTCAAGAATTGCAAATGCGTTTGGATCACTTTTTATTCAGCTTTTAAAGAATGAATGGGAGCTGAAATAACGTTGTAGATACTTCGGGGGGTACCAATTGAGCCCAAAGCTCACGCTTAAACTTTTTCATTTAGTGAAAAATATTGTTGAGTGCTTGAAGCACACATGAAGTTGTAATCTTTAATATTTCTTCCAGTGGTTTCAGTTTTTCAAGATTATAATGTCAAGGACAAACCCGAGAACATCCGATTTCTGTTATAGCTTACCATTGCCATCATGTGGCTGAGAATAAATACTTAGAATATAAACATATTTATTTTACATATATAGGTAACGTAGATGTATTATATTACAGTGTAGATTATATGTCTAGATATAGATCACGTATGCTACTTACCTCTATGTAGCTAGATCTATAGTAATGTTATACATTGAAACATATACAACTAAATATAGACACATATAGCTATCATCTCTTTAAGATGGAGAAACTGATCATATTTCCTGATGTTACTTTGCTGTTGACTAATCCAAAGCAGGAAATCCTGAATTAAGCAGTTTGTACTACAAATAAGTAATTATGACAAGAATAAATTGCATTCTCTTTTTTCAGGGAAACAGATATTAAGTAGACATGTTATGATTAAAATTGCAAACCAATTTATAAGGATACATAAATTATTAGCACCTAGCTATAATGTGATACCACCCATGTTACAAAAACATGCTTAATGGTTTTATAAAATTTTCTAAACATTATATTTGCTTTTAAAAATAGTACATGTCCTGGGGCAGCCCACTTTTGGGTTCCCCTTCTGTCTCTCTTAGGCAGAAGCTTTCTTTCTCCCAATAAATTTTTCCTACTCTTAAAAAAAATAGTACATATTCTGACAATCCAAATGCTCAAGAAGACCACTGAAGGGGTTTCATTTTTGTTTTTTGGGGGGAGGGGTTGTTGTTTTGTTTGCTTTGGGGACATTTCGGCTACAAAAGAGCTTTTCACCATTTTGATATACTGCACCAAAAACATCGCAGCTGCAGAGTAAGACTTCCAGGCTGGGTGTGGTTGGTGTGGTTGTTTACTCAAGAAGTCCGGAGAAATCTGTCTCTGTTGCCGAATATGACACAGCAAATCAGTGAAATAGTAGCGGGCACTACCCTGGCTTGATAGAATATTTTCCTCATGCGATCCTATTTATTCCTAAGTAGCTACTTCATTCCCCATAGTGTGATGAGGCCCAGAAGACCTGGTGGAATTTTAATTATGTCTTCTCTTCTTCAATTCCCTCTTAGGAAACTCCTGGAGGGTGAAGAGACAAGGTTTAGCACATTTTCAGGAAGCATCACTGGCCCGATATATACACACCGACAGCCCTCAGTCACCATATCCAGCAAGACTCAGAAAACCAAGGTGGAGGCCCCCAAGTTAAAGGTCCAACACAAGTTTGTCGAGGAAATCATAGAAGAAACCAAAGTGGAGGATGAGAAGTCAGAAATGGAAGATGCTCTGACGGCCATTGCAGAGGAGTTGGCCGTTTCCTCAAAAGAAGAGGCAGAAGAAAAGGAAGAGGAACAAAAAGCTGAGGAAGAAGTGGTGGCTGCCAAGAAGTCCCCAGTGAAAGCTGCTGCCCTTGAAGTGAAAGAGGAGGAAGAAGAGGAAAAGGAGGAAGAAGAAGGCCAGGAGGAAGAAGAGGAGGAAGATGAGGGTGCTAAGTCAGACCAAGCTGAAGAGGGCGGATCCGAGAAGGAAGGCTCAAGTGAAAAAGATGAAGCCGAGCAGGAAGAAGAAGGAGAAGCAGAGGCAGAAGGGGAAGAAGAAGCCAAAGCGAAAAAGGAGAAGAAAGTTGGCGAGAAGCGTGAGGAGGTGGCGGCCAAGGAGGAGCTGGTGACAGAAGCCAAGGTGGGAAAGCCAGAGAAAGCCAAGTCGCCTGTGCCAAAGTCCCCCGTGGAAGAGGTGAAGCTGAAAGCAGAAGCTGTGGCAGGGAAAAGTGAGCAGAAAGAGAAGGAGAAGGTGGAGGAAGAAAAGAAAGAAGTCACCAAGGAAGCTCCCAAAGAAGAGAAGGTGGAGAAAAAGGAGGAGAAGCCAAAAGATGTGCCAGAGAAGAAAGCCGAGTCCCCAGTGAAGGAGAAAGCCGTGAAGGAGGTGGTCCCCAAACCAGTAAAGGTGGGCGCCGAGAAGGAAGCCAAGGAGGAGGAGAAACCTCAGCAGTGGGAGGAGAAGGAGAAAGAGAAAGAGAAGGCAGAAGAGGAGGGAGGGAGTGAAGAAGGGAGTGATCAAGGCTCAAAGGAATCCAGGAAGGAAGACATAGCTGTCAATGGGGAGGTAGAAGGAAAAGAGGAGGAGGAGGAGGAAAAGCAAGAAACTAAGGAAAAGGGGAGTGGGAGAGAAGAGGAAAAAGGCGTGGTCACCAATGGTTTAGACGTGAGTCCAGCAGATGAAAAGAAAGGGGGTGACAGGAGCGATGAGAAAGTGGTGGTGACCAAAATGGTAGAAAAAATCACCAGTGAGGGGGGCGATGGTGCTACCAAATACATCACTAAATCTGTGACCGTCACCCAAAAGGTTGAAGAGCATGAAGAGACCTTTGAGGAGAAACTAGTGTCAACTAAAAAGGTAGAAAAAGTCACTTCACATGCTATCGTAAAGGAAGTCACTCAGAATGACTAAGAATTGAGTCCCCTCCAAAAGGTTAAGCCATATGACAACTTCAAAATGCATGTGATTGACAGCTTCAAACAGGACGGGTTCTCCCATGGGGGCTCCAGGTGTTGTATTTTACTTTGTGCAATATGAGGGAACTGCATGCAAGCTCAGGGTGCCCCCTCCTCAGTCTTTGGGGGATTCAAATGCATGATATTGTATGTATCTGGGGAATTTGCCAATTTCCTAAGCTGTTGGAAGGGGGGCACTAAGGGGAGGATATCTTGAGATGTATTATGCAAAGTACCAACTGAGCCAAAAATAATAAGTGAAACACAGAAGTCTCTTAGCCTTAAGAAAGCTATATATGAATAATTATGTTTACCTCACTGGTGCATTTAAAATGGACTTTCATTCATGGGAGAACCTCGCTGACATGCACAGTTTGCAAACTTATGTTGATCGATGTTAAATGTCACAGCAGTATTTGCTCAATAAAGGTCATATTGGAAACATAGTCAATTCCTTGGTGTTGTTTCCCAGTGAAATCTCTGCTACCTGAAGCTTTCTTTCTCTAGAATCGATTATTTGCAGGAATTATAGCCAGCCTTCCTCTCTTATCTATTTCCCTGAGAGTGCTCACTATTAAAAATATAATGGCTGAAGAATTTTCAGGGGTCAAAATCTTTACTTAGCCCAAGCTTCATCCCACAATTTAAAATTTTCATTTCTGAAATAAAAAATAAAAAGCATCAGATGAAAAAGGAGTTGTAGAGGAATAAAAGTGTTCCATCTCCAGATGTTTCCTTCTCAAACCAGAGTTGCGAGAACTTCAAGATGAGAGGGAGATATGGGAGTCACAATTTGTGCTTCGAACTTGAATCCTAGCCCAAGGAAGTTGTGGAATTTTTATAACACTGTGCCCAGAAGGACCAGGTCTGAAATCACTAATACCCCCAGCAAGAAATATCTACTCTCAGAGACACACCTCTGGTACACACACACACACACACACACACATACCCCTATATTGCTGATTCTTGATTTGATTGTTAGAGACTTACGCTTCTGGTATTTTACTAATTGGGGAAAATAATGTCAGAAATAAATAAAATATTATTATTGGGGAAAGAAAAATCAGATTCTCTGACACAAGCAATAAGTGATTTTAACTGATCTTGACAAAGCAAAAAATACCATTCCCTTTTCAAAATGTATTTGCCTTTGACCTTGACAACCATTAATATATTAATGAGCATTTATCTTTTCCATACCCTTACTGTTCTGATCAATAGGATCAGCCCAATGATATAATCCTCAATACTCTTTTCAATGGTTTATCGAAGGACTCCAATTTAAAAATCTAAATTTACCCAGCTAGCTCACTAGTAGTGGCATTTTTTGTGGTGATGTATCTTAGTTACTAGCTTTTTTGCCAATAATACCCACAAATTTTGTAATAACTGCATATCATCTGTACAACTATTTAGGTCTTTTCTTCAGAACAATTCACATTTATTTTTAAACACTGATGTTTCTAAAGCAATAATATCCATGACATCCAAGGTGAAACAGAATTTTTTAAATAGAATCAGCAAAAATTGACTCCAGCTAGGTAGAATTTGTAAACAAAAAGAGCATGCTGGAAGGACACAGAGCAACTTCTGGAATGGAAAGATCAGCAAATGAAGCAGATGTTGAGAAAGGAGAACTGGGCCAGCCTCCTAGGGACAGAAGTCACAGGAAGCCTGATGCAGCCACGGGCCTAAAGAAACTCAAACTTCATGTTGCTTAACTGAAATCTCAGAGAGAGAACATCACATCTGCTTCCCACCTTGCCACCTACCCATAGTGATGGACAGTCCCACCAAAACTGAATGCAGTGATGGGATGCAGCTGTCCCCTAAAAAGGCTAGGGAATAGAGGCTGGATCTATATGATATGATCTATATGATATGATCTATATGACTGTATTACATATCTAGTAACTATATAAACATTACTGTAGAAAATAAACATTTGCACCTAAAATCATCTCACTAGATGAGAGTATGAATACTGTTCTCAGGGACATAGAAACCCCTTTTTATTTCTTTCTATTTATAGTATACACAGTTTTTAAATGGCCACATTCAATCAGCAAAACTCCAAAACCAAAACTAGAGATTTATTCCATCAGCTCTCAGTTTTAAACTCTCTCATTTTCTTTTCTAAGAATATGTCTATGTATTCTAAAGGACAGAATCATTATTCTGACTTCTTTCAAAGTAGAACATTGCTTTGATAAGCCATGCAAATATTTCTAAATAAATCAAATTGCTTAGTTGATTTAGTCAAAAAATGTTTATTCAAGACAAAGGCCTAGAAATACAAAGTTCCTCTCTTCTAGAATTATTCTGTTGTCAATGCCAACTACTACACTATTGTTTACAGGGGCAGCAACTTGAAACTCATGTTTTCAAATATATTCAATGACAGGAAGTAACTGCATTCAAACTAAAACGCAAGCCCCCAAGTGTACAAAAATGAGAGTAACCTTTCTCTGACTACAGTCTCTGGCTACAATGACATTAAGCCACTGAAAAAACAGAATTTCTACTTTGGAAGAAGCTTGCCTTAGAGATACTATTTCATTTCAAATATTGTGAGAGGAATCAAAGCTAATCAGTCCTCAGGTTTTAAATATAAAGAGACATAATTCAAAACAAAAACCAAAAATTCTTCTTCTGGTACACACAGCTAGTGCATGAACTGGGATTTTACCTGAAGTTTAGCTGCAGGGCACATTCTCTTAACCCTGTACTATGCTATCCCTCAAATTCGTCTTTACTTTCAGGCTGAAAGAAAACAGAACCATGCCATGAATATCCCATTTAATATGTCTATCTCTTCATATTGTAATAAATGATATGCTATCTTTCCTTTACAGTACTGTCTGCATCATGAGAAGAATGAAAACTCAGATACAAAAATAAGTGGTGATCCCTTCTACCACACAGCTTGCAGTGTACAAAAAAAAAATGTAGCAACTCCTTTTCTCATAGCAACTTTCATATTCAACAAAAAAGGAAAGTGTTATTTCTAGTGCATTTCCTTCTACTGCCAGTCAGTGCAGACAGTATTAAAACATTAGGATATTCGTTTCCACAACAAATAGGTTGGTTGTTCCAGTTTGGAACAAGTTCTTTTTTCCTAGTGGTTTATATAATGTGCCCAAAGGAAAACAGAAGCTATTTTTAAGGGAATTGTTTTATTAGATCTACATGAAATCCCTCCATTCCAGGGCTCCTCTATCCATGAAAGTGTAGAGCTTTGATGGAAGCATTGTATTAGAGTTCAAGTCTTGGGTCATATCCAGCAAAATCACATGTCATGGGTCCATTATTACCACTGTATTCCCCACCCCCCTTTTTGTGGTACCGGGGATCAAACTCAGAACTTTGCACTTGTGAGGCAGGCGGCAGAACCACTGAGGTAAATCCCATCCCTTATTCTTCCCCTTTTTATGTGCAAGGTGGCCTGCTGAGGTGGTTCAGTGAGATGCCATTTAGGAAAGGACCTCACACTGCAAAAGGCATAGAGTAGGTGATCAAAACCATGTGCTAACACATTCAACTTTAAATAGGATGAAAACCACTGATACAGATTTTTTTATTTGGCAATAAGGAATGCATTGGTAAATTAATTTCCTCATTTATAATTTCCACATAAATTGTAATTATAATGTCCATCTGAATATGTGTAGAATACAAATAGAAATGTACACATCGTAGTAGCCGCCACCTACATCCATTATCCGTATAGAGAACTAGGTGGAAAATCATTTCATTTCCCCTGCAGTAATTTACAGAAGCTGCGTAGACACCCAAGAATCCATCTACATATTCGTAGGGCTTCCAATTTTCTAGATACAAATTATTTAAAACCACGTTGAGGGCTAGAGAAGAACGCTTCCCTGGCCTAGTGTGCACAGGGAAGCCTTGGGTTCAAACCCAAAACCTGCAAAACAACAAAAAAATAGTTTTGTGGTAGGCCATACTGATTATGCTCAACACTGTAATGTAGACCTTTCAGAGTTCTCTCTACACCTTCTTCCCCTGCACCCACCCCATGGTGGTACTTCAGGGACCTTCAAACTGAGCTACAAACTGAGCTACATCCCCATCCCTTTTTCTTGTTCTGGTTTTATTTTGTGACAGGGTCTCACTAAATTGCCAAGTTGCCCAGGCTAGTCTTGAATTTGCAAACCTCCTCCCTCAGTCTCCCAAAGTGCTGAGGTTACAGGTATACAACTTCTTACTTAAAGTATTTTTTAAATGCTATCATCATAGCTTGAATAACTTACCAACTTTAGATAACACTCTTGAATCATTTCTATGATTTTAATTGGTGTTCTTTGTCTTAGAAGAGAACAGAGTTGAAGAACTTAATAATTGACCTCAAAAACCTTCTTTTAAAAGAATGTTTATAAGGAGAGTAATTATTTATTCTAAAGACGTCAGTAGGAAGTTAAACCACTTGCATTGCCCCCCCACACACACACCTATACATTTGTACAGCAAAGCAAAGGACCTGGGGACAGCACTAAATCAAGGGTCCAAGAGCTTGAGTGCCATTGTCAGCCCCAGATGGAGACACTGGGAGTGCTGGATCCTGGACTGAGACCACAGGGCAGGGGCCAGCTCCAAAGGTCATAGTTTCTATGAGGTAAACAAAACATTCAATGAGTGTTTCAAGTTTTTTTTTACAAAAATAGTACAATAAAAGACACATTGCCATTAATCCCACTCAAAATACTCCTCCTCGCTTTGAACATGTTTATCCAATTGCTCTTGTCACTTTCTGAAGCAGTTCTGGAAGTCCTCTTTCATGAATGTCTTAATTTACGCTGTCGTGGCTGCCTTGATGTCCTGAATTGATTCAAAATGTTTACCTTTCAAGATCATTGCGACTTTGAGGAAGAGCTAGAAGTCACACAGTGCCAGATCTGGTGAATCAGCTAGATGAGGAGGACACACTGCAATGTTTTCATGAGCCTGCCTTTATGTTGGATGGAACTTAGCAGCAGCATTCACTAAATATTTTTTATCACATCTTGTAAAGACACTCAAAAAAGACAACTTCTGGAACTGCTTCAGAAAGTGTCCAGAATGATGGGATAGGTGTTTAATAAGAAGTGGAGTATTTTGAGGGAGAGGGGTTAATGTCATATGTCTTTTACTGTAATTATTTTAAGCATTCAGATTTTGATCACACCTTGTATCTTTGGGTCTCTCTCATTCACAGGGGAGCAGACCATGACAGCTGAAATAGGTACCAGTGAAATGGCCTTGCTGTTAAATTGGTTCTCGGTGTTGAAAGGAATTTTGGCAGAGTACATTTACTGGATCACACTAGTACCTCCAAATAGCCTTAATTGTTTTTGTTCACGGTGTAGTTTGGAAACCACAAATTGGTTGAAAACATAGAGTCCTATCAAGCAAAGGACTTGCTTTGCCCCAGGATTTGGGAAACTCG